ATCATGTGTCAGTATCTCTTTAATAATATCTTTACTTTTATATTTCCAATTATAATTATAATGACATCTTCATTTGTTTAATATTTGTATAATGACTATTACTTTTACCAGATCATAATCTCCATGACATATAACATAGCATTTGGAATATAATAGATGATCCAAAGAGAAGTGTTGTAAGAATTAATAAACTCTGTTAATAACACCCTGATTATAAGGTGGGTGTCACAATTTAAGCAAGATGGTATGTTAGCTTATTTCTATGCAAATAAATAGAGAAACAAATCAAGTTTTTCTTTGTTCTATAATAGAAGTATAAAGTAAGTCACAGTACTTTTAAAGCAAAGTGTTCCTGAAAAGAGACTTTGTTGATAATTTTTTTCTCAATGCACTTTATCTTCTGGGAAAGGAGCACACATATTCTGCAATTTCAAAGGCCTCTCACACACTTGCATACTGCCAGTGCCCTCTCCCATTAGCCTCTGCTATTATTCCAACTTTTAATTACTATCTCAACTCTCCTATGCTGTTCTGGTCTTAGCAGATGACCTTAGCACCTACCACAGAGTGAAAACAAAGGCTATTATGTGATAAATACTTCAACTCTCTTCATTTTACCTTCTACCACTTTCCCAAAACTACCTGCATCCATAGCTTTTCTTTATTCTTTGTCTCTGTGCTTAGAAGAAATATCTTCTACTTGTGAGTTCGATTCCTTTCCACTTTCTCTTCTTGTCACATTGCTTATCTCCTCTCTTACCTATCTTTTAAAAACTTTTCGTCTTTTTACTCTCTTCTAGATATCCTGTGAATGTGCTCAAGTCAGAATCTTTACCTAGATTCCTTTTTCTCTCTCACCCTTTGTATCCAATTGGTCACTAATTTCATAGAATAGTTTTCTCTCTCATATATTTTCTTCTCTTTTTATTCAAATTAAAAATAAAGAACAATTTTTTTCCATAACTCTGCATCCATCATTATGGTTACCTTCACTTTATTTTCCTTCTTTTTGAGTCTATGTAATCTAGATCTATATCTTCTCACCTCAAGTTCATTCATTCTTTAACTCATTGTTATCTGCTCTCACTACTTATTTGGAATCTCATTATCAAAGATTACTTACTAATGGCTTCTTAGTAGCTAAATGTAATGGATTTTTTTCAGATTATATTTTAATTGATCTATATTTTGCATTTAATATGTCTAGGGCATTCTTTCTATTTCTTTCCTAGATTTTTAAAGATGTTATGGTTTAGGTATGAAATGTCCCCAAATAACTCAAATGTGATACAATGCAACAAAGTTTAAAGGTAAGATGATTGGGTTAGGAGATCCTTAACTTAATCAGTGCATTAACCCACTTGAATGGATTAACTGTGTGGTAACTGTAGGAAGGTAGGGTGTGTCTGCAGGAGATAGGTCACTGAGCATGTTCCATTGGGGTTCACATTTTGTCCCAGGTGAGCAGAACTGTCTCTTTGCTTATTGATTGCCATGACCTATTTTATTCCTCCACATCCTTCTATGTTGATGAAGTGATGCCTCACTTCAAGCCCAAAGCTATAGAGTTTGTCACTCATGGACTGAGGCCTCTAAAACCATGAGCCAAATAAACTTTTCCTCCTCTAATTATTCTTTTCAGGTTTTTTTTTTTTTTTTTTTTTTTTTTTGTCACAGTGGTAAAAAAAAAAAACTGACTCAAACAAAAGGTAAAGATAATATCTGCTCCTAATAAAACATGTAAGCATCACAGAGCCATGAAGATCAATTGCAATTGCTTTGAAACTTCATTTTCCCTGTGTTTCTGTGGCTCTTATTTTGTTTTCTGATGCTGATCTAGTTTTTATACCCTGGATAATTTTCTAATGTGGTCTTTATGAGCTTTCCTTTCCCTGTCAATATGTTGTTTGTCGGATACAAGGCTTAAACTTTTCTTTTTTAGTTGACTTCCTCCTTCAAGATGAGGAATGACTTCCACCTTCACTCCATGACTGCTGTTCTTATATCTTTAACACAGATTACTTTATAGAGTACCAGCACTCATACATTGAATTTCTTACATACAGATTAATTCAGATGTCTCAAAGGTACTTCCAACTTTGAGACAAAAATGGAACCTATAACCTTTTCTCAAAGTCTGTGTGATTATATATATAATCTAGTCCTTGGGCATTGCCTTTATCTAGTGTCTCAAGTCAGAACCTTTACCTAGATTCCTTTTTCTCTCTCACCCTTTGTATCCAATTGGTCACTAATTTCATAGAATAGTTTTATCTCTCATATATTTTCTTCTCTTTTTATTCAAATTTTTGTTTTAATTTAGACATTTTCATTTTTATTTACATAAATACTTAGATGGTCTCATTGCCTCAAGTGTTACCTGTCTCCAATCCATTTTTCAATTTGCAATAATTGTTTCTTAAACAGAGTTTATAAAGTTAACTCAAAGATGACTTTATCACTTTCCTGCTTAAAATAGTCAATATATCACCATTAGCTTCACTGTAAGTCCCTCGGGATAAATTCCAGAGTCCTTAGCATAGTATCCAAGGCCTTTGTGAACTGGCCTTTGCCTACCTTTCTAAATGATATCAGGATTAGGTCCCAAGGAACTGAAATTAAAATGGACAATGCTATTTTAAGTGTCAAGTAGCAGAAAGAACCAGCAAGTTGAATATAAACTAAACTCCTTAAGGGCTTCTGATGTTGGTCAAGGCCAGGACACCATAATATTTGACAGGTCTTTAGGAGAGGGCTAAGAATGAAAATGATAGAAAGATCTAAGAACTGGACAGAACTGAAGGGGAAGGACAATAAGATGAAGAAAACAACAAATCCAATACAGGAAACTATCAGCAAATTGACTGAAATGTCTGTGGCACTGAGTTTATGAAGGGTACATGTATCAGGTTGACTTAAAGGGTTAGGGTCCTTATGGGGACTGACAGAAAAATCTTTGCTATATCTGACCATCTTTCTCTTTTAAAAAATACTTTGTTGGCTCCCTACCAACTACGGGACAAATTAGACTTCTTCCTGTTTCTATAACCTTACCTCCTGTCCCTGTCCTTTTACATTTAGGCTCCATCAAAACAAATTACATGATGATCTTTCAAATCCTTATGTTTCACTATATATTGTTTTCTCTTCCTGAGATATCTTTCAATTCTGTATTTCCTGGGTGAACTCCTCTTCATCCTTCAAAATCTTGTAAAGAGACCACTAATTCCAGAGCCTCCCTCTGAATTTTCCTCTCTCGCAGATTTACCCATCTATCCATTCCTTTTGTTTATAACTGAGCATATTTATTAAGTATCTAGAATGGGTCCCATTCCATTATATATTGGAAACACCATGATGAATAAGATAGGCCAAACATGGATTTTACCCTTCTTGGCCTTGCACGTATCAGTGCACATGTACAACCAAATAAATAAATAAAATGATTATCAAATTAATAAGTGTTGTGCATTAAAGAAACAAGGAGCTGGGATATAGAAAATGAGGATGGGGGTTGAGAGAGGGAACATACTTGAGTATAACGTTAAGCTATATGAAATTGTTGCTGTTTGAACTTTTTGTCTTATAAAATAAGACAGTTTATAAAGTCTAATAGTTGTCCTTCTAAGGCATTGACATTTAAACCGAGAACTGAAACTAGGTGGAATTGACTATACTAGCTATACTTAGAGATTGGCATGTTTCACGAACCAAGAGAAGACAGGAGGAAATATAATTGAGAAAAGTGAGTGACTAGATTAAAGTAAGTGAAAAAAGAAAAGAAGACCATTTAAGACATTTATAGGAGCTTTATTTGATTCTCATTGAAATGCAGAGCCACTGGAGTGTTTTTTGATCTTTCTAATTACAGTGTGGGACCAAAATGGAAATGGAAGGGAGTGAGGGTAGAATAGAGCTGCCAATTATGATTAATGTAAGGAGTCAATATAATGTGCTATATGTGATGGGTCTTGAATTGGGTACCTTTGGTTTAAATCCTGAATTCATTATTTATTAGCCCTTTATTTTATGGAAGATATACTCAAATTTCCCAACCCTCAGTTTCTCTACCTATGAAATAGGAATAATAATAGAATTGACTTCATAGGTTTTAGAGTAGTGATTGAATGAGATAATCCATTGCAAAGCACTAAGCAGTCTCTGACAGATAATAAATAATTTATACTAAAGAATAATAGTCCAGGGCTGGAGTTGTGTCTCAGTGGTAGAGCACTTGCCTGGCATGTGTGAGGCCCTGGGTTCAATCCTCAGCACCACATATAAATAAATAAATAGAATAGAATAGAATAGAATAAACATCCATTTACATTTACATAATGTCCAAGTGAGAGATGATAATTGATGAAAATATATTTAGAGAGAAATAAAGGGATAAGAAAACTATCATAGAGGTTTAAACAGCAGGATTTAGTAATGGATTGGATGTGAGATTTGAGGGAGAAGGATTTGTTTGGTATTACTTTCAGGTTTCTCTCAAAACTTGTACCGTGGATTTTGCTGCAATTTCCTAAATTGGCAAAAGTCTACCTGATACAGACTTTAACACTCTAAATTTCACTCTACATAGTATCTGAGGCAAGAATGAAAGAAAGGAAAAAGATAAGTGTCATACAATATAAAAGAAACTAGTTATTAAACATCTTAGATACTTGTCAGAACATTAAATTAAATTTATAAAACACTTTATGCTATGTTCATACCATAGTGTCTGTAATTGCAAAAATCTTGAATGTGTATATAGTTTGTTCCCAGAACATAATATTTTGGTAGTTTCTACTGTACTACATAGTATATGTGATAAGCAGTGAAGAATAAAGTTTATGTGTTTATTTTGTCTTATATTAAAGATGTTTTGTAATCATTCTGTGTGCTTCTTTTACAGAATGGAACATGCTTGGTATAGTGGCAGATGAAGAATTTAAGGAGCGTGTCTATCTTGTTCTCCTTGGCAACTGAATCTACTCTGAGAACGTTAAGGCACCATGGGAAAGCGGGATAACCGGGTGGCCTACATGAATCCTATAGCAATGGCCAGATGGAGGGGCCCAACTCAATCTGCAGGCCCAACAATACAAGATTATCTGAATCGACCAAGGCCCACCTGGGAAGAAGTGAAGAAACAATTGGAAAATAAAAAGAAAGGCTCCAAGGCCTTAGCTGAATTTGAAGAAAAAATGAATGAAAGTTGGAAGAAAGAGCTTGAAAAAAGCAGAGAGAAATTATTAAGTGGAAGTGAGAGTTCAACCAAAAAGAGAGAAAAAAAGAAAAAGAAAAAGAAGAAATCTTGTCAGTTTTCATCATCTTCATCAAGTGCTGATTCTTCAATCAGTTCTTCAGATTCAGAAAATGAAGAAAAGAAACCAGGAAAAAAGAGAAAGAAAAAGAAGAACCGCTCACACAAATCATCAGAATGCTCAACGTCTGCACCAGAATCAGAGAACAAGGAATCTGTAAAAAAGAAAAAGAAGTCAAAGGTAGAAATAAGGAAAGAAAAGTGTATTAGAAGTCTCAGCAAAAAGAGAAAGAAAACTTATCCTGAGGATAAACCATCTTCACCTGAGTCTTCATCAGAATCAGATCATGAAGAGGAAGTACAAGCAAAAAAGAAGAGAAAGCGTGAAGAGCAAGAAAAAGCAATGGAAAAAGTAAAGAAGAAGAAAAAGAAACAACATAAGAAACATAGTAAAAAGAAAAAAAAGAAGTCTGGTTCAAGTCACAAGTCAGGATAATATCAAGGAAAAAAAGCAAGCATTCATATTTAAAAAAAAATAGCAAAGTCTGAAGGAAACTTCAACTGTGAAAGTTAGGGCATATTTACCAAAATGCATGAGTTTCCCTGTGTTAGTAGAGTTATTCTTGGACTTTGAGTTGCCATTCAAATGCCACTGTGCCAGAAAGGGCCATGCTTGTTGCCTGCAGCTTAAATATTTGGTTTTGTTTGTCTTTCATCCTGGTGGTTATTCCTCTGGGAGATAAAACTCTGTTGTCATATTAATGGTTATAACATTTAGAATTAAAGTAAAATATTTTAGATAATGAATAATCCTGACCAAAAAAGCATATCTAAGGTCAAATATATCTGATTTATACACATCTTTAAAATATAAGTAGAAACATCATGACAATATAGTTAACATTTTTGAAACAAGGACTTAATATTGATATCTCAAAATCCTTATTTTGTAGATGTTTAGTTTATTTTACTGTTTATTCTTCAGTAAATTTTTGTTTACAGGGAGAAAGGGCTTGCAGCGAGCAATGGGGGAGAGTGTTTGCTACTCTGGCTAGCTGAATAGTGTGCCTTTGATTCTTAACATCCTATTTTTGCCAGTGCAGCAGCCATTTTTTCTTATTTAATGAAATTCTGCGATGTTCTTGTATGCTGCTTCAGGTTAACAAAACAGACAGCAGGTTACAGCATAAGTAAACCCCCAAGACTATGACATTTACCTCCATTTTAGTACTATTCACTATATAGTACTGAATAATATTTAGCATTAGAATATTACATAGATTGAATTAACTTTGATACCTACCAGAAGGGAATAATTTTAAACAGTTCCTGGTATTTTTTGATTAATAAAATTCTGAAATTTTTTTGCATATTTTATACAGTTAAGTTTTAATTATCCAGTGATATTCTTTATAACCAATGATTCTTTTTAAATATGATTTATGCTTAGGGTATGAAATTCAAGTTTGTAGTTTCTTAATCTTGGTATATTAATTTCATTACTCTGTGTTTAATTGCACACTTGCCAAAACATTTAATATGTAAAAAGAAGGTTTTTAAAACATATTTAATGCCTTCATATTGAAGCTGGTTTACTATAAGCAAGTTGAGTGCCAGACCTCTAGTACGTTGTGTATCTTGTTACATAAAACTACTGCCAAAATCTTAGTAAGTATGATGTTTAAAAATTTGTTGTCTTAAGCATTTATATTGAATTAAAATAGGAGTTAAATTCATGTGATAATGATATCCTTTATCTTCCTGTGCCCATATTTTACTAAGATTTGGTGCCTTGTGTCTGTTGCTGTTTCATGTTTACCACTAATGTTGAAAACCTATTTTTACTTTACATTTTTATATATCAGAGTAACATGAATTATACATTTATGTCTCAAAAATACCTATTACAGAGGATATACCAATTGTAATGTCCTAGGTACGAAGTATGTTGATATGATGAGAGGCTCAGTAGCTATTTTTCAATAGCTGATTTCATTTTGGCTTTCTTTAAATCACAAAATTATAAATATAGAAAACATATAATTGATAAATAACATATTGGCTCTCAAAATTTTTGCAATAACATTACCAGATTCTGTCAGTAAGGTTGTTGGAGCATTATAGTAATGCCATGTTAGGTTACCTTGGAGCTTCGTAACTTTAGCTGTTCTTTAAAAATATATCTATATGTATATGCTGATAAAAACTATTACATTTAAGGGATATTTTGTATCCATATAGAGTTTTTCAAGATTATTATTCATTAAAATGTTTCTTAAAAGCTTATATTATTTGTAGAATATGGTGAAGACATCTGCAGTTCATCATCGTGTGCTCCTGTTCACTTTCTAGACCCTTGTAGTTAGGTGATGTCATTTGACTACTTCTAGCAGAGGGATTGAAAACAGAAGTGATGTATCATTTCCATACTGGAACAGTTAAAAGTCCTGCATGACCCTCCAGCCCTCTCTTTACCTGCCACCATGACCTGAAGGCAATGATACCTACCTTCAGATGGACGAAAGCTGTATCTTTATGTCCTTGTTTAGAAGCATCCTTCCCTGAAAAGCTGATGGATTTGCAGTGGACTTTTTTGAGAGTAACAAATAAATAGTTATGTATTAAGACACTGAGATTTTGGATCATTTTTTATTGCTGCAGCATCACCTAAACTAATCTAATTAGTCTCTTCATTGTTAACATTAAAAGAACTCATCTTTTATCACATCTTCCTATAGTCTGCAAGTCACACTGAGATCATTTATGCCATTGTAGAAAGAAATGTTAATTGTATTTGCATTGGTCTTTATATGCTGACTGAGGGAGGAAGTAGTCTAGCACCATATTTCAGTTTTCTGATTAGCCCAGTGTTCTAGTGAAGTGTTTAGGAAGAATATTTTAAGAGCACTCATAGAGGCTTAATAGAGAAGAGGAATGCTATTTTTTAGATTGAATATAGAAATTCTGTTAGGGAAGTGCCATAGAAATATATAAAGAACAATAGACTAAGTAGTTTAGGTGAATATTTAAGCCATGGTCAGTATGTTGAAGCAAATTTTTGTCCTTATGTTAAAAACCCTAAAGTTGTTCTTTCTGATTTGTTTTACATAATTAGAAAGAAGAATAGCTTTAGCCATAGCATTCAAGTATCATTGAATATAGAAAGGGAAACAGAAAGTTAAGAAGAAAAAAATGAGAAGAATTGATTCAATCTAGACTGGGAATTTAATTGAGATCACAAAAAAAGACTTTTAAAGATCTCAGGCTGAAGATGAAGGTTTAGATTAGAGGAAAAAGAATGATGAAGAATTCAGGGTTCTGGTTTTATATCTTGTAATAAAAATATAAAAATTTATTTTGAGGAGAAAATTAAGCATTCAACCTTGTAACATTTCTGTAGTAATTATCAGTTTAGTCACATTAGATGTTGGTATATAGCTATTTAGTGCCCCATGAAAACTGTCATCAGATCTTCAAATATACCTATATGTTTAGAGTTCAACTGACTTAGCAGTCTTTCATGCAAACAAGAGCTGCAAATAAGATGTGTTCTTTTAGCTCACACCTAGCTCTAGCACTTTTTCATGACTCTTTCATGGCACTTACCTTAGTTTGCCTTGAATTATTTATTTTGAATACTTATAGATTCTGGTTGTTAGGACCCTATATTTCAGCTAAGCACTAGGTTGAAATTCTTACTCTGCCATTTCTTGGCATGTCACCCTAAGTAAATATTTCACCTTTTTTGTGATTCAATTCTCTTATATACAGGATCAGTAAACAAAAGCATTAATATCTACCTATAGGACTATTAGTAGAAGACAAAATCCTCAAAGCATTTAACACAGTTCCTGGCACTTAGTAAATGCACGAAAAATGTTACTCTTTTTTCTCCTCTTCCTCCTATTATTATTACCATTATCATTATCATTATTACATTGTCACTTCATACACACTGCATTTTTTCTCCTTCAAAGTAGAGGGGAGGACTGGGGTTGTGGCTCAGTGGTAGAGCTCTCTCCTAGCGTGTGTGAGGCACTCAGTTCGATCCTCAGCACCACATAAATAAATCAATAAAGGTATTTTGTCCAGCTGCAACTAAAAATATTTTTTCAAATGTAGAGGGGATTCATCTTTAATCCTTGTAAAGATGGTACATAATGTATTGCTTATGAAAGGTGTCATCTAAATTTCATTAAATTAAAGCAGTTTGTCATGGCCTGGGAGAAAGGAGACTGAACAAATACAGTGTATTCAATGTTGTGTATAAGCTCTCACTTTTTACAATGGCTTGAGATATATACTTCAAGATTCACCTCTTAATACAATTCAATGGTTTGTTTTTGTTTTTGTTTTGAGACACATTTAGGAAAGCAGATACACATTGAAGGGAGAATGTGGGCTCTCAGGCAATAGACATTTTGGGGGTGTAAAGGAAGAAATACCCATTTAAGGGAGAATGCCAGTCATATTGAGTAAGAAACTTTTGAAGTAAGCCAAGAAATACATACTTAGGGAGAAAGTGGGCTATCTCCAGAAGGAGAGAAATTCCAATGATTTTAGTGTGTTTACAAATTTATCCAAGCATTATCACAGTCAATGTTAGAACATTATAATCACTTCACAAAGAAATTCCATATTATTTATTCTCCTTGTCCCCAATCCCATAGCCTCTCTAGCTCTCAGTAACTACTGATATATATTCTGTCTCTTTTTTCTGGACATTTTATATAAGTGAAATCATACCATATGTGGACTTTTGTGGCTCGCTTCTTTCATTTAGCATAATATTTTCAAGTTCCGTCCATTTTGTAACATGTATCAAAAATATAAAGTGAAAGAAAATCTAGTATATCCTATAGAATTTCCACTAGAACCAGGAGAAACACCATGTTCCATATTTATATGTGTGAGTAACAATTAACCTCATTTACACTACCTTAAATGTATGGATTATACAGAAAATTATTGAGGGTTATAGTTCCTGGATATAAAATTGTCTAAACAATGATTCATAGAAATTGGGATCATTTTTGTATTGAAGGATGATAACATTAAAATAGCATGAGTATAATTCCTGTTCAGATTTTGGCAAGTATAAAATTGTTTTAAGGACAGCATAAATAAGCTGATTTTCCCTCTACTAGACTACTACTACTTTGGTTTAATCAAGAACCCTATGTGTTTTGGCAAGTCTTTCCCAGAAATTATGAAAACTAGTGATTATCATTTATTAATAACATTGCCATTAGAAACAATCTTATTGGGGGCTGGGTTGTGGCTCAGTGGTACAGTGCTTGCCTAGCATGTGTGAGGCACTGGGTTTGATTCTCAGCACCACATATAAATAAAATAAAAGGTTCATTCATTAACAACTAAAAGTAGTTCAAAAAATAATCTTGGGCTGTTATTGTGGCTCAACATAGAGCGCATGCCTAGCATGTGCGAGGCCCTGGGTTTGATCCTCAGCACCACATAAAAATAAATAAATAAAAATAAAGATGTTGTGTCCA